ACTCTTCTCTATCCTACAAGTGAAATGCATCTCTTAAACTATAAATGGGACTTTTCCTGAAATTTTTAAAATTACATATCATATGCATATAATATAATTGCTAATATGAAATCAAAACAGTTGAAATTTATCAGTACAAATTGTACATGAAACTATGTAAACAAGTAGTTATTAAAATCACGACCGTCCCCCAATAACATTGAAAAGGCTATGACGGCTGTGACGAAAATCGGGACGGTCTTGGGATATTTGGCTCTGTTCAGGTGGTAGCACTGTATTTCGTGTTCGAGAATATTAAGTCTGCTAATAGGTTAGGTTAACGAATAAAACATCACGTAGATAAAAATTAACCACTTGTCCACACAGCTAAATGACAACGGACACATCAAACTAAACATCAAGCATTACAAGGAGCATTAGGACACATCAAGCTGGCGTACCTTGGACACATCAAAATTACCATATAGGCTACATACAAACTTACCTTTAATGAGGTTCAGGTAATTTTAAAACAGCTGAAAACAACAGCACAAATTCACAGACACGTGTACAGTTGAGACCACAATAACTCACTGGAGCGCCCCTGTAGTGGGCCAAAGTTTTAAATTTAGCCTCGACGGTCAGGGACATAGATCTTAGTGATAGATTTATTTTACAGCAGTAAATAGGTATTTCGTTCATAAGGTATAAAAATGACTTAAATGTTTTTATTTTGTTAGGTTATTAATACACCAAGACATATAATCAACCAAAAGTTATTTAAAACGTGATAAATTGGTCTCAAAGTAGTGTAAAATGTGAAGTATGGGTCCACGTGACAAGGGATGGTTGTGAGATGTGCGACTTTAAAAATACCGTAAAAATGTATAAAACCTACTGTAATTAGAACTATAGCTTATTATTGCTTGTAGGCCTAATATATTTCCCCCACTCCATAAAACATCTCAAAATATACAATTATATCTTATCTAACCATTATTTACAAAGTAAAATGCCAGTGACATCAAAATGAACGCTAAAAAATATTCACTCAACAACCAATTAAAAGTAATTAGTCCTTTGATAAGTTACAGCCTTTTGTACTTCAATTAAACAACATTCAAAAATTTGTTTGGAGATAAGATTTTGTATTTCAGGTGGCATGATAGTTCTACAATTTAGGAATGGCTTAGTTAGGACGACAACCCCTCCACCCCTGGTCTTTTTTTCGGCCAAAACCAGCACTAAGGCTGTATTAATATTGAGTCTTTCTATTTTTAATTTAGTTTACATGTTTGTACCAACTTTAATCAAAATCGGATCATTTTGACTTATAGTTATCGTGCTAACGGACACATTCATCATACCGTACATATTTTATACATGAATCCAAACAGATGGTGTTTTTGGCCTCTGGGAACCTTAAAAACAAAAAAGTATCGGTCCCCAGTCAAGGTCCTACCTGAGACCTATGGCAACGAGAAATCATGATTCTCCTAGTTCAGAAAAATATCATAGTCCAGTTCCAAGCAAGACAAAAATTTTTATCCAGCAAGACGTGCTAACATTTACACTCAAGATTAAATTTCCCATTATACAAATTACCCGCAACTCATGTCTACGCACAGGCCCCTGCCTATGTAGACCTTTTCCTCATAATTTGATAAGGTATTTTTTTTCTATCTTTGTGCCATTTAGATATACAGTAGTATACTTTTATGATTATTTTTTTTTAAGTTAAGGTTTGTATAATAATTATGTAAATACCACACATTGTATTAAGCAGTTGCAAAATAAAATATTATTTCATTTCATTCATCATTTCATTTCAGCTTATTCTCTCTATAGACGGGAAATTCACTTATTTTATAAAAATAACCTAGGTAGCCTACTTAAGTCCTCTAACTTATTTCCTACATTTAAATTTAGTAAGTTATGTGGATGATAAAATAGAGAAATATTTACATTCTTTACTATCAAGTTTATTTCATCCAAACCAGCCAATCAAAATATATTATGCCTAAAGGTTACCTTGGTTGTATTTGAAAAAGTAGCGCCTTTATTATTGCTGAAATTAGACTGTGGTGATGGCACATCCAAGTTGTACTGTTAAGTTCAGGCCTAAAGGTTTAAGTTAATAAGTCAGGAAAGAATAAATAATCCCGCAGTCATTATTAATCAAGAGGTTATAGAAATAAAACAGAAAAACATTGTCATCTGAATTATTATTCAAAAAAATTATTTAGGCTACATCAACATAAGTTAGGTACTGTACAGTCAAACACACCTAAGAAGGCACCTGTGCCCGGTGCTATAGGAAAGGATAGAGGATAGAGTAAGGGGTCAGTTATGGGGGGAAATAATGCCGTCCCAAAAGTATTGGTTTTGCCACCGAATTGCCAGCTACCAGCCCTTATCACACCCCTGACAGTTAGTAGCTGTTGCACGCAAACAACTCTATTTTTAACAATGCTTGTATTTTATGTAAATATATATTTAAAAATTTAGAAAAGTCAAGGAAAATAGTAGGCTACTAAACACAATGTGTAATATTAGCAATGAACTAGATGTTATTGAATAGGTTTCTTGCAAGACACCACTAAGTCCATTAGTACCGTACCAGGTGAGTGGTCGAGTATAAGGCCTAAAGTTTAATTCGAGGATAGTACGGTACAACGTTTTCACCCCTCTGCGAAGTGCCTTCTTAGGTGTGTTTGACTGTACAGTCAACAGTGGTTTGGTAATCTTAGTCAACAATCATGACTGTTTACAACTTAAAGCCAGAGTGGATAGATACAACACCACCAGTCAAATTTTCATACGACACAGAGCTAAATCCAGACGCCTGGATCATTTCTTTAAACTCTTCTTGATTAGGAAATTTTCTGATGCTCTCAACCAAGTACTGATATGACTTCCAGTCCCCAGCAACTATCTGCCCCAAAACTGGTATGATTTGGAAAGAATACTGATCATACAACCACTGGAGAGCTTCATTGTTGACATGACTAAACTCTAAGCACATAAACCGTCCCCCAGGTTTAAGAACTCGATAGGCTTCATCTAATACTTTGTCTACATGAGTGCAGTTTCTGATACCAAAAGCTATTGTATATGCAGTGAAAACATTGTTGTCAACAGGAAGATTCTCTGCATCTCCCTCTATCCATTTTATTTCTGGATCTCTGAAACCTAATTTATCTCCTCTTTCTTTGCCTACATTCAGCATTGCTGTATTAATATCACAGATGGTAACTGAACTTTTTTCGTATGATATAGAGGTTTTGTTCGACTTAGGAATATTCCTTAAATATTTTAAATACCTGAAAGCAATGTCACCAGTGCCCCCAGCAACATCTAGTAAATGTGTTCCAGGTGTTGGTCCCAATCGTTGAATGAAAATGTCCTTCCATATTCGGTGGGTACAAAAACTCATAACATCATTCATTAGATCATATTTGTCTGCAACATTTTCAAATACTTCATATACTTTTTTCACTTTCTCACTCTCCGGTACTGTTTGAAATCCAAAATGAGTCTCATTTTTGCTCTCATCCTTGTGAAATTTTGATGATTCCGAAGTACAATATTTGAAATAAAAATTCATGAAACAGTTATACGATCTACTTACCAAGTTGATATGGAACTTGGATGTTACGGTAGATAAGGACATATTGTTTTCTTGCTAAGTATAACCAGATTTATGAACACTAACAGAAACAGATAAATCCTATGTTAGACATAAATATTTGAAGTTATATTAGAATAGCGATAGACAGTGCTAGCTAAGTTATTATAGCCTACCTAGGAGGAACTTACAATTAATACAAACGAAATGAATTACGTATTACGGTATTACTACCACTACCATAGATTAAAATGAGTAGACAGTACTGAGGTTATGACGCTTCTGCTTAGTGCTTCTGCTAGTGCAAGTGCAGTGCTAGCTAGACAGTCGTGAAGTTAGCGCCGTTAGCGGCTCTTTTCATCGGCGCTTTTTCGGATTGTAATAGATATGGGTTGGTACGCCTGCGGGCGCCACAAACGTGTTTTGCAGGGATGTCGGAAACGCAATTCAATGACAATACGGTGCGAAATGATGTTTTTACATTTATATAATGTCTATTATACCTTGATAAAACGTGTATACACGTTAAAACTAATTAATTGGCGTATTTTAAAAGGCATATTTGAGACCGTACTGTACATTATACGTAGCTATGGCTTAACATAACGCGATCAATTAAAACTCCATAAAAAACTCCAACATAAAAAAGTGCATAATCTTTTTCCTAAGCCTAAGTAGTTAAAGGCGGCCGTGCATGTAGTGTTATATAGTCAATGTTACCACCCATTTCATCTACGATATTATTTGATATTGGCATATTGGTTTCAAATAAATCAACCTAGCCTGCTTAAAGAGATAAGAAGAAGCCAAGCCGGACGCCGCTGGCGCTAACCTTAAACTGAGCTCAATAATCAAACCTCAAACCTGTCCGTCTGTTTTCTGTACTGTAGTATAAATAAAAAATCAAGTATAATAAAAGAATATAAACAAAGTATAATACAAATTTTAAGTTAATTATTTATTTAATGGTACTTAATCAAATGGAATATTGTATAAGAAATCCGTGTACAGTGTTGTAAGTTGCTCAGGCATACAGGAGGTAGCTAGGCTAATATATTTTTGTTTCAAAATACTGTACTAAATTGCAGCCTAGGCCTAGTATGATCAATTCGATTCGCCTATCAATCTTGGGTTTGTTTGGAAGAGACACTTTTCAATTTCAACTTAGCCTAGAAGAACTCACAACTCAGGGGAGTCGAGGACTCGAGGTGTCGGTGTCAGATTTAACTAGGCCTATTATTACAAATGATAGCGTTGTCCACATGCAAGTTGAATCCACATTATTGTACTAAAATAGATTACTACGTACCGTATAGGCCTAGGTTGTGTCCCTGTCCCTATCAATGGTACTTTAAGTTAATAAAAGTGTTATTTAGTCTGATTGATACCTAACACTAAACTTGTGATTTGTAACTGCACCTATTAGACTGTTATACATTTTAGAGGATTCCAAAGTGGCCTATATTTAAGTCTTTCTTCTAAATTGTATTAAGTTATGGCTTTCAATGTAAAGTCTGATATGTTTAATAAAAAATCCCCTAGCCCCAACAAATCAATAATAATTTCTGCTAGTGATACAGAAAGTGGATCTAAATGTCCGATTTGTTCCAAGACATTTCCTTTTTCTCAAATAGAAGGCCATGTTAATAGATGCCTATTCCTCAACTCTGTAAACGATGGCACTTCATACAAAGAACCTCAGACAGACAAAAGGAAAACAAATGAGGAGGAATCAGTTCAGTCTAAAAAGTTCTGTAAAAATAAGGAGTTAAGCAACGATCCTTTCACTTCAGTGTCAGCAAAAGAAAAAGGAAAGGTAACTTAATAAGGTTTACTGTAGGCCTAAGCTGCATTTTTATATTCTTTTAAGTAGGTCTAAGCAAATTTCTATCGTAGGAATATGATGAATATAATGCCTTAAGCTTATTGGGGGCGTACCCAGGGTCTTGTGGTAACTTAAGACGTGGGGCCGGTACAAAGATAGGCTACTTTTTTTATGTCCCATGAGCCTACAAACACCATCTGTTCAAATTTATGAAACTTATGTGTCCATTAACCTAAGTTAGGTACCGTACACCATAAACTTGATTAGGCCTATAAGTAAAAATCTTCAAATTTTTGTATAAACAAGTAGGTCTAAACCAAGGTTTATTTGATGAGTTTGCAAAACAGCATGATTAGACCATAGGAACTGGTGATATAACTTAGGTAGCCTACTGTATGGACTCGGACTGTTGGACTATGGTTTTGTGGGGTAAAAATTGGTTCTTCCAATTTTTTTTGACTTTTCAAACATGAAATTTCACATTTTCTTTTACATTAGGTGCCTACCTAACAAGTACACAAAGAATGCCGGTTGCCGGCGTCCCGGCTCGAGAAGAACTTAACATGGTTTCAAGTGTGCCCGTACACAGTAAACGCCGGTGCCGGCTCAACAAGCGCGAGCTGCCGGCGTCAACCGGCAAACAAGTATGAAGAGAACATTCTTATAAGCCGGTTCCGGCAACCGGCTCAGTCCGCGAGTGGTCTCTGTACTGTGCAGTTGGTGGGTGTCATAGCGCGATGGTTGATACAGATGATTTAATTTCCAAAGTTTATCAAAAGAAGGCGATTTGGGATAAACGGGAGAAGTTGCACGCGAACAGAGTGCATGTAGATAAGTGTTGGAAAAAGATAGCTTCTGAATTGGAAGCCGAAGGTTTCCTTCTATGTTTCTTAATATGTAATCGAAAGTCGCTAGCTCCATTCTCATATGTGTAGAACCGTTGTGGGTCACCTTTTAGTTGCGGAAACAAGTGATGGTATTCACCAAGTTTCTTCCTATGTCTATTAATAACATGAACACCGACTTTCCTCCTTTGTAATAATTTTACATGAACACTCTCCGCCAAAAACATATCATCACTAGACGAAGACATCTTTGACACTGCTCAAAGTGAACTGACTTGTCGCGCTTGTTACCAGCTTTCTTTATGTACGGCTTCAAGCTTTTGCCGCGCTTATAAGCACGAGGAGCAAGCTGCCGGATTGCCGGCGCCGGCAACCGGCGTTCTTTGTGTACGCACCCTTAGCCTATATATAGAAGTGGGGTGGTACATTAACTTATATGCTTATATCTTAAGTAGGCCTGGGGTACTTATAGGCGAGGTGCTCCCGTGCAATTGAGTATGCATGAAAAGAGTCAGAGATTTTGACTTTTGATTTTAATAATGGGGACCTAGGTGAGTGTAAAAATCCATGTCGTTGCCTCCAAGGGTGGTCGACAACATAGGGTTGGGGGCGCAAAGTTGTGAAAAACGTTAATAAGAAAACCGCTTTTAACTCCCTTGTTATTGAACGTACCGGTAAGTAAAAGATTAATTTAAATTGACTTTTATTTTATTAATAGGGACCTAGGTGAGTGTAAAAACCCATGTCGTCACCTCCAGGGGTGGTCGACATCATAGGGGTGGGGGCACAAAGTTGCGAAAAACGTTAAAAACCGCTTTTAACTCCCTTGTTATTAAACGTAAGTAAAAGATTAATTTAAATTTAGGCCTACTTTTTATTTTATTAATAGGGACCTAAGTGAGTGTAAAAACCCATGCCGTCGCCTCCAGGGGTGGTGGACAACATAGGGGTGGGGGCGCGAAGTTGCGAAAAACGTTAATAAGATAACCGCTTTTAAAACTCCCTTGTTATTGAACTTAAATAAAAGATTCATTTAAATTTACTTTATTTTATTAATAGGGGCCTAGGTGAGTGTAAAAACCCATGTCGTCGCCTCCAGGGGTGGTCGTCAACATAGGGGTGGGGGCGCAAAATGCGAAAAACGTTAGGCTAATAAGAAAACCGCTTTTAACTCCCTTGTCATTAAACGTAAGTAAAAGATTAATTTAAATTGACTTTTTATTTTATTAATAGGGGCCTAGGTGAGTGTAAAAACCCATGTCGTCGCCTCCAAGGGTGGTCGACAACTTAAGGGTGGGGGCGCATGTGCATATACTATACAGCCGCATATGTAACTGACTCAGTTATACAAATGTTTTAGCACTTCTAGAGGTGCTAGGGAGTTGAAATTTGGCAAACCTCTTCGTCTTGGGCCCAAACCCCCAGGAAAATTCTGAAAAATTATACATTTTCAAATTTTACCCCACGAAATCTCGAATTTCCCCTCTATGTTATTCTTACGGGGAATAGTATTGATACTGGTCGACTTTGTGTGCTCATCTGAACCTTTTAGAAAACTGCTAGAGGTTTGAAATTTTGTAGTATTGTCGAATCGATTTGCAAATTTTCAAATTCTAACCCCCTCAAAAATCCAAAATGGCTGACACCTTAAAACAAATAAAACACGTTTTTTTAAAGGACTATAGCTCTATAAACGGTAAGAGCTAGAAAAGATTTGAAAGAACTTTAATGATCAGGAATTAAATTTTCTACAAAACACTTTGAAGTGTTCTTCAAAAATCAATCGCACTCCTTCACCATCAAAAAACGCCCTACTTTCAAAATCTGGTAAATTTCTTTCTTAACCATTTAGAAAAGTTATAGAGACTTGAAACTTTAACCCCTGGAGAGTACGACATGGGTTTTTACACTCACCTAGGCCCCTATTAATAAAATAAAAAGTCAATTTAATTGAATCTTACTTACGTTCAATAAGAAGGGAGTTAAAAGCGGTTTTCTTATTAACGTTTTTCGCAACTTTGCGCCCCCACCCCTATGTTGTCGACCACCCCTGGAGGCTAGAATCTGATTATTCTAACGTTTTCAAGCAAAGAGAAATGAAAAATGTAAAGATGAACAAAACAAATAAATATTGTTTTGTTCATCTTTACATTTTTCATTTCTCTTTGCTTGAAAACGTTTGTATTAAACGAAAATTTGCTCTGTTTCATGTTTCATTCATCATAAACTCTATCAAGATCTCCTCAAGAATATAAAAGTCATTTGGCATTTTCATCAAGAAAGATATATAAATATAAATATATATATATATATATATATATATATATATATATATACATATGAATTTGAACGGATGGTGTTTTTGGCCTCTAGGGACCTCAAAACGAAAAAAAAAAAAAAATCGGTCCTGGGTCCAGGTCTTACCATGAGTACTACGGTAATAGCTTATTCCCTATATGGGAAATTCGCTAATAAATTTGCCAAATTTTATCAAAATCTATACTTATAAAAGGCAAAGCCCTCACTGACACGCTCACTCACTCATCACTAATTCACTAAGGTATTCCCAGTTGCATGGTGTACTAGTGCCCATCTAAATAATTTGATGGGCAAGATCTGGGGGTTGCAAAGATAGAGAAGTTATTTTTCAAAAAGGAGAGTGCTTCAAGAATGTACAAGCAAGGAAAAGTTAAAATACTTGAACACAAAAAGAAATCTTTACAAGAAGTTCTTGGACTGATTTTAAAGATAACTTAGTTTGAATTGCTCTCTTTTGGAGTTGAAATAAAAATCTAGTTCTATCATTCTCGCATCCCCATGTCGGTACTGCGTAGACCAAATGAGGGATGATTACACGATAATAGGCTGTCAGAAGGACATTCTGATCGGAGAAATGTGCAAGTTGCCTTCAAAGGAAGATGCCAGACCCCACTCTCATGCATACATTGTCAACATGGTCATCAAATCAAAGGGTTTTGTCTAATATTTGACCAAGGAATTTGACACTGTCTGAAGACTCAATCTCTACATCCTCTAGAAGGATGTTTGTAGAAGGATTGCCTTGGATTGAAAAACGGAGCAATTCGGTTTTGTTGGGATTGAGGTTAAGTAAATTGAAGTCAAACCACCGGTGGGGCACACAGGAGGGACTATGGCTAACATATTTTGTAGTGTCAGCGTTCGTCGCTAGAACCGCTAAGTTGAAAAAATTTTAAATAATTTTATAATTTTTAGTTATAAAATTAACTTTTTAGTTATAAAATTAACTTTAATTATAAAATAAATTTAAAAATTTTTAATTATAAAATTAATCTGTCATAACCTAACCTAACCAACCAAACTTGCTGATAATATAAAAAAGATACAAGGTAAAAATTGAATAAAGGTTTACTATTAAAAAAAGTTCTGTTCATAAATAAAATTATAAATGCATCAAATTCTAACAAAAGATGTAGCCTACAGTTAAGAAGTAGTTGCTTTCAAAGCAAAACCTTTGACAAAAAGTTAGTGTCCCCGGCTGGTTTCGAACTGGAGACCTCCTGAACACCAGTCCGAAACGCTATCAACTATGCCACAAACGCCGCTGGAATCACATCGTCTCGTTACGGTAATCGTGTTGCCTCATGAGAAGACATTAGCCACTAGAGATATGACGTCACCACACTTTTAGCCTTAGTCCCTCTCGTATTCCCATCCGGTCAAACCAATGCTGTTATTATCATCATCCGCAAAAAGGCAGACCTCCCCAGCCTCCAACACTTAAAGGCAATTCATTTACACAAATGAAGAACAGTACAGGTCCAAGGACAGGTCCCTGGGGAACCCCACAAGTGAGGATGTCCCGAGAGGAGACAAAGGGTCGAGCACACCTAGAACTGTAAACTCCTCTCACCTCAACAAACTGCTCCCTCTTACGGAGATATGAGGAGAACCACTCCTGTGCCAGCCCTCTCACCCCAATGGAATCCATTTTAATGAGAAGTAAATCGTGGTTTACGGTATCAAAGGCTTTGCTCAGATCAAAGAAAAGCCCTAAAGCATTTTCTCCTGAGTCTAGAGCCTGAACTACTTGATTTATTATGGTAAACATTGCATTAGTTGTCGATTTTCCTTTTACAAATCCAAATTGATTCTTAAACATAACATTATTTTTTCTAAACATTTTGTTAATCTTACAATTACTACTGTTTCAAATATTTTAGATATGGTTGAGACTAGAGTTATTGGTCTGTAGTTATCATACATTGTTGATTTACCTTTTTTAAACAATGGTTTCACAACGGAGGTCTTAGAGATTCAGGGAATATTCCTGTTATAAATGAACTGTTGATTATATTTGCTAGGGGTTTAGAAATTAAGTGTCCAATTTCTTTAATAAAATTAGGTGAAATTTCGTCAGCTCCAGAAGATATTTTATTTTTAATTTTCTTAATTATTTTTAAAATCTCATTCTTGTTAGTTTTATAAAGGAAGAACGAATCTCTTAATGTACTGAAGTAATGACGTTTAAACTGTGGACTCCTTCGGGTGTGCCGCCAATTTTCAAGAAAAATTTGTTGAAAATCTCAGCAACATCAGTAAGATTGTTTACTTCTTCACCACTATCATTTATAATCTTAATCGGTTTATTTCTATTGTCCGTACAGTCTTTGTTTTTCTTTATTATTTGCCATATTGTTTTGGATTTGTTGTCAGAGTTATCGATGTCTTAATATCTGGGCCGATTTTAGCTGACGAATTTGGTAGGCCTATCTATATTTCTGTTTCAATCTCAAGTAGTACTATCTCATGAACAGGGTCGAGTTTAGGTCCTTAGTTTTTATGTGTAGTTCCTGAACAGTTCTTCCTAACTCAATTGTGTCAGGTCCAAGAACTATTTTCCTCCTCTCCCTTGCTTTTTTGTTTTTCATTATTATCTTTGGAAAAGCGATGTTAAAAAGGTGATTAATCGTGTTCTCAAAAGCTGAGTATTTATACTTTACATTATTTACAAGGTAAACCAATTCCCAATTTTCATTTTCTATCAATATCTTAAAGTATTATTTAGCAGCAGGCGTGAATTTTCTACAGACCTTTGACCTAGGTGGAGAAGTTTTTGTATTTGAAAGCATTAAAGTGACAAGTTGTGCGTGGTGGTCTGAGAGGGCTGACACTATCACAAAACATTTGAAATTCCCTTCCTCGCTGTCTGTAAAAACATGATCAATAAGAGTTCTGGAGCTTTTTAATTCTCTTGAAAATATTTTACTCTGTTCTACAATCCGAAGGAGTCCATCGTTGATATATATTGTGAGGCTGTAAATGATTTGGCAGCCAGATCTATATTAAAATCCCCCATTAATATGGTTTTATTTTTGTATTTACTATATTTATCAAGGCATTCTGTTAAGCAGTTCAAGAAAATTTTATGATTATTGGTAGGTGGTCTGTATTTGCAATTAGGACAACTTTCTCTCCTCCGAACTCAAAGAGTGCTCCAGCAAGTTCACACTCACCCATTGACTACTTGGTCTAATTGGAATCTACTTGGTCTGTATTTGCAATTAGAACAACTTTCTCTCCTCCGAACTCAAAGAGTGCTCCAGCAAGTTCACACTCACCCTCGTGACAATACACATCCATATCAATCTTTTGGTAACAAAAGTCACTCTTGGCGAGTATACAGACTCCACCTCTTTCAATTTTTGTTCTGCAGAACGAAGATACGTTGTTAAACCCCTCTAGTTTGAATATATAAAATTCATTATTATGTTTTAAATTGTGCTCTTTAAGACAAACAATATCTGGCATCTCTGTGTCAAGGAAAACTTGTAAAAGTTCAAATTTTGAAGCAATACCTCTAATATTTTGTCTTGTCATCCTTTAGAGTTAATATAAAAGAATTGTACGCTGATGGTTAATTATTGTGTTATATTGTCTTGTTTCTGTTTTGTTATTGTTCTATTTATTAATTTGTTAGTTTAATTATTGATATTGACGAAAGTTGTTCTGAAAAGCAGTTGTACTGAGAAACACTTGATAAATAAAGGAATTTTTATTTATTTTGTTTATTTTATGACATGTGCCTAGCACCCTATCCTCTCACTGTGCTTATTGCAACCGTACAAAAACCACTCTGACTACAAATCTTAGTAGGCCTACCTTTTCCCCAGTGTGTTCTAGGCTTGTGTATTTGGTTTGAATCACTTGTAGAATTTATTTACTCATCAGTAGGCCTTCATTTTATTTTTTATCTTGTATGTTTTTACCCCATTGGCTTTTTTTAAAAAAAAAGAGTGGTGCCAAATTCTGGTTTTGATATCTTATCTCAACCTTTTAGTTTCATTACAAAGCCTCTTTAATTGATAGCTCAATGACAAATGAAATCTGGGTCCAGAATCAACACTGATGCCTGAGATAGAACCAGCAACCTTATTATTTATATATAAGAACTATAACCACTCAAATATCTAGACATCTAATTAATATTGACTTATGGTAATCATTCACACTAAAGATCTTCTTCATAATACATTAAATACATCATACATCATATTACATTGCATTAAAATTGATGCAAAGAACTTTTAACGTCTCTACAGAATGTTTTATTGTTACAGTTGGCTTAACCTCATTTTGAAGATCCAACATTACGTAATTTAGATACTGTGAAAAAACAGAGTTAAAATAGCCTTAACTTTTTCAGGAGTTGAGTTCCAAAATGCCAACAATTACACTTGAGGGAACTGCTCCTCTCGCAGAACAGATGAGGCCGTCTTCTTTTGAAGATTATATTGGTCAGGGACATGTTTTGGGATCAACAAGCTTACTTCGTACTCTTTTAAATCAAAATGAAATACCAAGTATGATACTATGGGGCCCTCCAGGATGCGGAAAGGTAGTTCAAACATTTTTCTTGTTGTTGTTATAAATTTTTAAGTTTACATATTTTTGATACAGGCAATTTTAAGGTTAAAGATAATATTATAATATATAGCCTATATGCAGGGTGCCTAAAAGCATATTTCACTTTACTCATACAAACTGAATTGAATTTTAATAACAATGCGATAGCTTCACAAATGTTGCAGACTGGCCTCGATGATCTCTCCGATTAGTTAAAAAAATGGGGGATCAAAGTAAATGAGAGTAAATCTGTCCCTACAACATTTACAACAAGATTAGGCACGTGTCCTCCAGTAACCCTAAATAATGTTCAAATCTCCCAGAGTAATGAAGTTAAATAATTGGGCATGACCCTTGACAGAAGACTTACTTGGACAAGCCATATTTGGAACAAGAGACTTTAGTTTAATTTTTAATTTATAAATCTTTCTTGGCTATTAAATGGAAATTAAAAATTAATACCAGAAAATGAATTGCTGTTAAGTTAGGCATTTCAAACATAAATATTAATACAAAGATTTCAATCAAAAGTTTTAAGATTCATCCTGCAAGTATGTCAATAACAAAATTCTTTACAAGGACAGTGGAATTCCAATGGTTGAAGAAGAAATAACAAAATTTTGTGTAAAATACTTAAAAGAACTTGAAAATCATCCTAATCACCTGACTTTAAACCTCTTGGACAACAGTACCATTATATACAGACTGAAAAGAACTCACGTTTTAGACCTCAGCTCTCGTTTTGTTTAAATAATTTCATTATTGTTATTTTTTCCTTCAAATATTTTAAAGTTAGGTCTGTCGATGGATAGAGACTAACTAACATTTTATTAATTGTTCTCATATTTGCTGGATTTTCAAAAAGCTGAATAGATTGTAAATAAAATTGTGATTACAAAAAATAATTTTAATAACAACAGAAAAAGTACAAAATAATGTGAACATAAGCACTAAACAGACGTTTTACATAATTGTTCAAATGAGTCAGGTAATTTGAATATACAGTCTTCCCCTGTAAAAAGAGAACAAACAGGCAAAACAATCCACAAGTTTATTCTAACAACTGGCCGACAGATAGATCTTTGTTCAACTTGTGGATGAGGTTCAACTTCCGGAACTTTTTGCTGCCGAGCAACTCAAAGTGAACGAGTGCCGGTTCTGGATCAAAGGAGTGCTGTTGTTCAAAGGAACAATGGTGGTTAAGGCATCGAGGAGCAAGTTACAGCCAGGCTTCTCTGCTGGAGGAGCTGGGGTATCAAATAACTGGTGCTACTGGCTTTCTGTAGCTGACAGGCTCAATGGGCGCTGGAGTTGTCTTTAAAAATACTATACAAGCAGTATCTTTAAGTGTTAAATTGCATACATATGGAGCCTTGACATACTTTTCTTTAAATAGTTTTGAATATTTGTTAAGAGCTTCTTTTTTAAGCTTAAAACAATTTAAAGTGGTTAATTTATGAATGTAGACAATATTTTTTACAGACATCACTGGCTCATATAATCAGCAAGCAGTGCCAATCTATATCCAAGACACAGTATAGATTTGTAAAACTCTCTGCAACGATGGCTGGTGTCAATGATGTAAAAGAAGCTGTTAAGATTGCAAAGAATGAGTTTACTAACTTCAAGAGACAAACGATTCTTTTTATGGATGAGATTCATCGGTTTAACAAACTGCAGCAGGTTAATATATTAATTAATAGCTTAAGCTTTTTTAAATCATATGTAAACTATGACTCACATGAAAATGTCCTACAGAAAATTGATAATAAGAGTTACTATCAGGGCCCTGTTTTATGAAGATACTAGTCTAGTAAATACTAGTCCTGTATTTACCTGTCCTACAAATTTGTGTTTTATAGCCATTTTTCTGCCACTAGTAAATTCTAGTGCATTTTACTAGTCCCGTGACCAAAATTATTAGTCAAGTGACCAACTTTTCAAGTGAACTATCAACACCAATTTATAACCTCTATCATACAATAACCTCTATACAGTAACCTCTATCATTGGGGGAGCGAGCTGGCGTAGTGGTTAGAGCGCGGGACTTCAGTCCCTGAGGTCCCGGGTTCGATCCCCGCCAAGTCACCAATGGATTTATCTAAGTGATAATGCCGCGACCCCTAGGTCTAGCCTGAAGTAATGTGAAAAAACAATCCCAGGCTCGTGCCTAGCGTCCTAGGACAAAAAAAAAAAGAAAAAAAAAGAAAAAAAAATCATAGGTTTTCTGACGCTTCATAAAAGGTTTTAAACTTTTTTCATTTAATGCAAAAAAAAATAGCTGTAGAAACACATTGTATTCTTTTTAATTCATATTTATATAGACATGGTAAGTAAAACAATAACATATTATTTATCAAACCGTTATTATTTATGTTCATCAATGAGCTCGTCGCCGCAAACACCGTCATTGAGTTACTGGTTGTAGGCTTAGTTGCGGCGCTCAACAGTTAAGTGGAAGTTGATCTGTTGCTGCCGCATGCTGTGATTTTATGGTTTTTTTTTTAATTTTGACGTATAAAATTAAGCTTACCATGAGCAAAGAAAAGAAGGCTCAAATTTTGAATGTAGGGCCTAATTAAATCGTCTAAGGACATTTTTTTACGTTTTCAAGTACCCTTACCTATGTTTTCAAATATTCAAGCAGAAGAATATTTGGTTTAAAAATCGTTTGGTGATTTTCTAATTTTGAGTCTACAAACCATGAATAATAAGCCTAAACGTTTATTGATGTAACAAATACACTAATTGCAACACCGTTACAAGTAATGGAGAAGTAGGTTTTCAAAACATAGCCTAGGCGCTATGGCGCTAGAGTTCTTGCCTCTCATGAGGTGGGTCCCTGGTTCGAATCCGCACCACTCAGTATTCTTTTCATTTCATTAGGTAATTAAACTTTTGAATTTTTTTCACTTAAATGACAGAGCTAATCAACATTTATTTTTTTATTACTTTGAATAACAAATTCAGTAATTCAGACCTAAATGAATTAGAACTATGAGGTTATCATATATATTAAAACATGACAGGGCTTTTTTATTTCACAATTCTGAATCAAGCCATAATTTTAGTTTAGGGTCTCAGTTTTTTAAAAATTTAGTTTTAATTTTTAAAAAGTCTAACATTCTATACTAGCTTTTGGTATAATATAATTTCTTAACATAACAGCTGTAAACAATCAGCGTTTGTGACACAATTTCAGCATCTATCTATATATTAATAGGCAAGCATGTTTCTTTAAAACCTTTTTTCTCAGCTCATGTGCATCGTAGGGAAAATCTACGCATACCGTTAGAAAGCCATTTTCCTGTAGTTCCCTTCTTAAACACTTGACTTAAGCTTTTCTTGGCAAGTTTGTGAAAACTTGAACACCACAGCTTTCTGAAAGCTTTGCTGGTAAGTATAATTAATGCCTTAAATAAACATTTGAGACAAACTTATCCTGAAAATCTTTGGGTAAACTAGCCAGGCAAGCCTAGTGGTCGGTTAAATTTATTAATAAGTTTTAATATGATGTACTGACAGGACCGGATTTCCCAATAGGCCCGGGCCTATGGGCGCAAGGTCCCAGAGGGCGCACGGCTGAGAGTAAATTTTTTTATACCTAGGCTATCTAAAAATAAATAGTCATAGTTGATAAAAAAAAACTCCAAAGCATTGCAATTCTGAGGTTCATAAGAAGAAACAATTGTTAGGAAATTTAAACAATTTTCAGAATTACGCATCAATTTCGTTACAAAACTGGTAACGGACATTGTTAATACGGGAGTTGAGTAGGGATGTTGACGTTGACGAGCGCCCAAGGGGTAAGCATCGTATTGCCACTGCACTGCCACTATGCTGGCTCGGGCTCGGCACTACTGATCAGAGTGATTAGGGGCGCATGCGTGCTAGACATTGTTACCAACCTTACCTCACAAAACAAAAGTTATTAGCTAATCTTTTGATTAGTTTACAACAATCTGCAGGATCAAGTTAAAATATATAATAAGTTGTGTTGAATATTAAAACAACGACAAATTTACCTTTAAAATTAACAAAAAATATTAATCTCAGTTTGCATTAGATTTTAGAAAAATTCAATACCCTCCAAAGCACCATAAATGCTGTCATTTTCTCCTCAGACCTAAGGATCCCTACGGTTGGCCCGAATATTGCTCTGTTTTGCTTTGGAAATATAACCTAGATGCAGTACGACCATAGACAGTAACTCAAGTCGACTTATTATGACATTGTTAATTCAATCTTTTTCATGTCTTCTTCATGTTGGTGACACTGGACGTTAGTTTTGACGTAATTTTGTTTCTATTATTTTAGGGTTAGTTCTATGATTTGTGTTTTAATTTCTTGTAATATAAACAGGAGACGACCTATTGTTGATGATTAGATTGTTTTATCTTGGACAAACTAGGTTTAAACATGGATAAAACATACTCCTTAAATAACAAAAATTGTTTTCAGCTAATCCAAAATGATGACAAATCTACTAAAGGAGTATGTTTAATCTATGGTATCACATATTTTGTTCAATTACACCTCTAAGGTAAACCTACCAATTACCGATAACTTAATGGGTTATTGTATGGAGTTCATGTTTTTGGGCCTGGAATTGGAATCAATGGCCATGTTTTTTTTCTCTTTTTTTCAGTAATGCTCGGTGGGTTGAGTTGTTTTGTTTCAGTCCCACGGCCACAAAAGTGAGCATTTATTAAAAGCATAAAATTGCTAAAAGTGTTTAAGACGGCATTTTACTAAGGCTAAACAAGTCAATTCTTAAAAAAAAAACTTGCAATGATTCCAACGAGGAGTGGTATTTAAGCAATTAACTTAGGCCTATGGGCATGATATAGTTTTAATAAAGGTTTGAAGGAAAGTAACTGTAAACAGACTAGGGGGCGGAAAATTATTTGGGCCTTGGGGCGCAAAAACGCTAAATCCGGCCCTGCGTACTGAACGGTATGATATGACTTACGATGCAATCACAGCTTGTTTGATTATACCTCATACCTTTTGTGACATAGGCCTACCTTTATGAACGCTCTGTATAACAGTTTGAAATTTAATATAGTACACTGCCAATTATCTGGGATATTCGGGACCAAGGCTATCTCAGATACCACAAATCTCCTATGTCTCATAAGGCTAGGCTGTAATAAACCCTACAGTATAATATATTTTCTATGTATATCTGTTACTCATTACAGGAGAGGAGAATAAAAGACCTGCCGTGTTACAGGTAATAATTTTGAATAAAAACACCTTTTTCACATTATTGTAATTAAGGTTTAGATAGAGAATAAAAATAAATAATTTATAAATGAAAATATGCACCCAATTATTTACAAATAAATACTTGAAAACAGAAACTTGAAAAAAACAGTTTTAATATATTTTTGTTATTTTTACTTTTTCACCACAAATATCTAATAAAAATCATACTTTCATTATTATTTACAAATCTAAATAAATTAGGCTTTCCAATGACCCATTAATTAACAAAATCGGTCTTGTAGAAGTCTAGATTTAGTTGTACAAAGTTTAACAAAAATATCCCTAACTCAGCATATTTTCTCATTACTATAAATTCGGAGGTTGCTTAGCTTTTTTGCAAATAACGTTTAAATAGTGAGGAAATCGACCAAAGTGGAAGGTGATATTCTGAAAAAGAATAAAATTTCATACACTTTGATGATACTATGCACTTCTTGAAAATACTCAAAAAAGGCAGCCTAAAGTCAGTGGCGTCTCTAGGACCTTGTCAAGGGGGGGCTCCGGGGGGTTTGCACCCCCCGGAGAAGAGGGGGGTCCGGGGTTTAAAAATTTTACATTTTTAAAGGAGTTTGGTGACTTTCTAAAGCAATTTTTAACACCTAAAACTGTGTCCAATAATAGTCCAAAAACTCCCATTTCACCTGTTGTTTGTCATGAGCAAGTAGACATAATTAGAGTAGAGTAAAGTATATTTTTTAAATAGTTTTTACCAATTTATTTAATAGATCAGATTTATTATCCTAATAGAACTAGGCCTATATTCAATATGAATAGATATTGCAAAACATAACAATTAATCCTCTATTGTGGTTTCTATTTCATAATTTAACTTGCACTTTTTAAACCTAGTTTTAATTTTTACTGCTCAATTTCGGAATTTTGGGGGAGGGGTTTGACCCTCTAACTCCCCTCCCCTGCCTACGGCCTTGTAAAACGAGTCTACACTGTATTGAAAATATAACTAATAAATTATAATTTAATAGTAAAAAATCCACGGCAATAAGGAGTAGATAACCAAACGGTAAGGCCTGACAATAATTGAATTGTATATTTAAACATCCACGGCAATAACGAATAGAAAACCAAACCATGAGGGTAAGGCTTGTCTAATTGTATTTTATATTAAAACATCCACGGCAATAGTGAGTAGAAAACCATACCATGAGGGTAAGGCCTAACTTTAATTGTACTGTTTGAATGTGAAATCCATCCTCCTTTCTTTCTGGCCGGCGAAGTGATCTATTACTTTTTCGTTGACGTTTGAAGTTGACAATAGCTTTTTTTCGTTAGAACACATAGCAAGCGCACTTAGTCTGTCTTGTTTCATGGTACTCCTGGTAAACGTTTTAATTCGTTTCAAAGTAGAGAAACAACGTTCACTTTCCGAAGTAGTCATAGGTATTGTGCTTATG